TAGACTTTATCAATAGGATATATCTCTCTTCATTAAATATATATAATAATTATCAGGTGTCACCCCTTTCCGGGCATCTTCAGCGGACAACTCGTCCTTGCAGCCGAGCATAAAAGCGAGGTGACCACCACCGTCAACCAACTGCCCAAAACCAACGAGGAGCGACTAAAAACGATGCAGTGAGAAACACCAAGGAATTTTTCACCCTACTGTGCCGACACTGGGCATGAATTCTCTGAAACCGTCTTGGCAACCGCCAACCAGCATTTGATCGAGTAACTGATCACATGAATCAATATGATTCGCAGTATAGGGGGAAGAGGAATATGCATATGCTCAACTACACGTGTTGGTGACAATATGCGAATTTTGGCGATTTCTTATTGGTTTTTGTGAACTTCTACCCGAATTCTTATAAACTCCTATAATCAGTGAGGAAAGCCGACATATATTGCTCCAACATTAACAACGTGAAACCATCTCTCTTACCTGCCGCGCGTCTTTCGGGAACTCCACGGCGCGCTGAATCAACGGTAATGTAATCGTTTTAATACTTCTAAATCTTCCACAGTGCGCCTCTGTGAGATGCCTTAGCATATCAATAGCAGCCTTCTCTACTTCAACCGGGATCGTTCCCTGGTGCCCTTCAGGAAGGGGCGAAATCTGGTCGGATACTCCTGAGCGCTCCCAGTGAGGTTATCGGTTGTTCAGAGATCGACTGCCCTACCGCTGACCAAAGTATGAACAACAGCTCCTCCTAAATCTTGTGCGCTGACTACTTCCCCTGTTGCTGCTTTCACTAAGGGAGGGCCGGCTAGGTAGATCGTGCCGTTGGTCTCGCACATGATGATCTCGTCACACATCGCGGGGATCTGAGCTTCGGCGCTTATCGAGTTCTTACTGCCACTCGATAAGAAAATTTATACTTGATCCTCATTCTAGTGACGAGAATCTGTTAACACTTTTTTTCCTTTTTTTGTTAATTTTTTTCTATTTTTTTGTTAGCAAATTGACTTGTATTTTCATGCGCCCCGCAGGACGGAATCAACTTTCGATTCGATACACGATAAATCAACGCATAATAATCATGTCATTAGAGTACCAACGTAGTCTGATGAACATCGCGCTCGCCATTGTAATCGATATGCGTGTTAACTATACTGTATACGACTTACATAAGCTCCACCTGCAGTTGACATACCCACTACTGCAGCCAGCTGAGGGTAGCCCCGGGCCTACGCAGAGAACATTGGAGTTTCACGACTACCCGTTTTACGTGAAGTGGCGTAATACTCTGTGAAAAACGCGATATTCGCGGTGATATGCAGTAGTCGTGAAATATATTCCTCACTGGTGTTTTTCATATCACTAGGGTGGCCGTGAAACTCCAATGTATTCTCAACACCTACAGACATTTTCGCCTCGTTGCTAAAAATGCGGCCGAATTTCTCGGGAAAGGACTCCGCTTGAGTATGCAAAAATGCGCCACCAGAATCCACTATGTATCTGAGGTAACAACGACGCTGAGAAAAACCAGGGAAAAATTATAGCGGCTCCATTACAGTGCTGGCAGACCGAGCTCCATAGCGATTTGCTGGAGACGAAGCGCCTGAAGAGACGTGTACAGTGTGATGAACCAAACCGTTATGCAACTTAGCCCCCGAAAGTCAACTTTGAGTAATATCAACATGATAACAATGTGAATCGATTGATGACACCAACGTTTGAGAAGCGTTACGTAGTCTATAGTCGTATGAAAACGTCTCGAAAATCTACATATGCATAACTGTTGAGTGTGAACCGATCGAAATCGTCTCTTCCTATATTCACCTTTTCGCACGACAGACCTGTCCATGTCCCCCCCATAGTAGAGCCCTCATTAATAATAACAGCGCACCAAATGCCGCATACCTGACCGCGTATATACCCCCGGTCTACTGACCAGCAGACGCCAACTACTTTTGCTATCGCCGTCACCAACCCCGCCCCAGGGAACCGCCCATCGTAGAGTCCATCAGCAGCTAATGAGCTGAGCTCTAGCACAGAGCCTGGGTCCGGATCGCACAGATGCGACAAACGATCACGCGCGAGCATTTTCCCGCGACTTTCTGGAGAGTACATGTATGTGATGTGAGTGAACTCGACTTACTTAATTTTTCTTTCACCGCCGGAGTAACACTCATAACAGCAGTTAACTTGTTTTCAAGTTCTCTGCTGAAGTCCTCCACAGTGGACATCTCGACAAAGGGCAATAATAACAACAACTACAACGGCAACGCATAACAAAACTTGTTGTTATTTTCGCAGTCACCTTCTTGCTGCCAAGTAACTACATTGCTTTATATGCCAATTAGAAACTCGGATATATGCGCCTAGATTTATGCGCCACGTTTGTACTAACACGTACATGTAAGATACGACGTGTTGTACATCCTATGATTAGTTGAATAGTAAACGACCCCTTATGAAGTCCCAAACTCCAAAATTGTGTGCCAGCCATAGTCGATCTACATTGATAGTTTCCATACACTCGGAAATCACTTTCTCATTGACATCACATTCTAAGATCGATGTCGCTGTCTATGATGCATCGGATTGTCAATGGACGGGCGCCAGCCACCCTATATATGGCTTTCTCCATATCGTCATATCTCGTCGAGTACGGAATTGATTCCACTTCAGAATGGCACCTGAGTTTGTCTGGCATTCACATGCGAGGATCCACTTATGTCGATGAGATTGAACGAGCTAGGGAATCGACAAGCACGCCCAGGAAAAATCCACGGCTTACAAGGCGGAATAATTCACCCACTTAGAAAAGTTCAGAAATGGTTTTCATAGACATTTTCGAGAATGTCACTTTTTGTGTTCATTGAGAATCAACAAGTTTACAGTCCCAAACCTAATTACTAATCACCTATCGATCACTTAAATTCGCCAGGCTATTTCCCTCAACCGCTGAAACGATCTAACACAGCTTGGACTATGGCGATTTGTGAAGAGAGCACGAGGGAAATGAAGTCGAGGCAGCCTCATCCGTAGTCTATGCTGACCAGGTTGTTACGTACTGACCGCAAGCGATAAATCGATCATTTGGGCGCGCGCTCACACGTTTGCGCGCACTGAAAATAGTAACTTCCTGTAGTGAATGATACTCCTCGGTGCAACATTCTACACTGTAGCGTCTCTGCTACTCTTTTGTCTGGCCTTGGGCCGTCATCTACCCAGTGTTGGAGCAACAGCCCCTACGTTCCTTACTATGGATGAGTACGACGAACTATTGCAGAGTCAAGGTTTGCTGGACGTAACAGACACGGGCGACGAGGTCGAATCAAGATATGACATCGTAGAAGAGATGGGTGACGAAGTCGACTCGATAAACGATGTTGGTGTCATTGCTGATGTCCCTGTCGATGTTTACTGCAACTTCCACGATGATAATAACGGCTTATGTGTCTCCAAAGAACTGGGAGGTGACTTTACTGACATTTTCATGTACAACTCGACCGGCTCAAGTGAGAGTGTGATTACCCGAAGTTGCGAAGTGGCAACCTACCCCTCTATCACCACCCAGGTCCGCATGAAAAAGATGAAGAGTTCACACTCAGCCAGTGCTCTAGACAAGCTCAAGAACAAGCTCGGCAAGGCGGTCGATAAGATTCGTTTCAGCGTTGTTGAGGCTCCCCATGATATCCATCTCATAGTGCTGTCTTGCGATATCGATCAGCCTACCATCGATTTCACTACTTCTATTCTCTACCAAAGCGATACTCCCAAAGACCGTCGTCCGAATTCCTTCAACCTTGTTTTCAGAGGTACCATTGAGGACCAGCAAAGGAAATACACTTTCGAGAGAATCCACGCCCGAGACTTCCCGTATCAAGAACACACCTCCTACAAGAGTACTGATCCGAGATATCTAGCACGCTTTTCATCGCGTGAATCAATGCGTCGGAAACGTTCTTGGTACAATTTTTTCGATGGCGACAAACGAATAACAATGAAGATCGCCTCGAAGGTCTCTACTGCAACCGAGCACTACACTTCGTATTCTTGGAACTCCTCAGAGTATGGCCGCGGCACTGCTTTTACGTTCGCGCTACCCTCATATTCGAAGAAGAGACTTTCTGAGAAGAGATTCCTGAGAGCTATGGCGGCATACTATCGTGGAAAGTGGACTGTCCTGCGTTCGTATTAATGTTTATGATGTTCATGATGTGTGAGTCCAAGTTGTTGATGATTTGTGGACTGGGTTGAAAGTTAACTTTTCGGTGATGAAAACGATGAGGGTACTCCAACATCGAGATAGTTCAGGCGCACTATATAGATCTCTTCAAGTTCAGGAGAGTATCAATGCTAGTGAACTTTGCCTCATAGGCAGTTTCCGTTAATATCTCCATCACATCTTCGGGACACTTACTGGTACGGATGCGCTCCATACAACCCATCAGTGATTCTCGTTTCAACTGCCAGCGTTTGCTCGAAGCAATGAGCTCAACATAAAGAAGGCGTCGCATGGACCAATTAATCTCAGAACCGCCCGAGTGTTCAGCGATCTTCTCGATGATCTTTTTCTCACGAGGACTCGACTCCATGGTTGGGGCTGTTCTTTGACTTTGCCAGGGAGACTGACATATTCACGTAGAAGTAGGATGGGATTGTACTTATGTGGGCGCTCAGCCGTACTCAAGATAACCATATCATCTCTAGCTTGCTTTACCATGCGACGGCAACCCTCAATGAACTTCGAGAAGGCATCAGCAATCTCACTCGGAAATGGCTTATTGTTGACATCCTGCCAAGCTAACAAACAAGAGTTAGTTGGCAGGTCAGAGGTCTGGTGATCCTTCAGATCCTTGAGAGCACCATTGGCGACCTGGTCACTGATGGCCCTCGGAGCGACCAGGCACAGAGCCAGCAGTTGTAGAGGAGCAGGATCAAGTTGACAATTTGTCGTGGCCTGAGAAATCTTATCCCACACCCTTGGGTAATCCCATGAACGAGGCTTCCCACGTTCAACCATAGTGTAGTCATGGCCATCAGGGTGGGTTTGTACATTCCAAGATCGAGCCCAAGCAAATACTGAAGAGCCAAGATCTTTGCCCTTAGGGCATCTGAAAGCCATACATTTATATATGGGGTTCCCCATATTCACACCCAGGACCCTTTGAGGCGTGCCAACAGGGTTCCTACCAGTATAATCGATATCACCAGAAGCTCGAGTAACCATCTGCGCAGCAGCACGAATATTCTTCATGAAAGCAAGGTCGTCACCATGAGTGCCAGTATTGGTTTCAACCGTATCACTCTCTCATTCTTTCTCGGATGATGCACCATGAAAGAGATGAGTGTCCGACGTTTGAGCAGTATCATCCCAAGAGGATGAAATACTGTCATCATCACCATAGTCAACTTCTTCGTTACCGTACATACCAACACGACTCTGTTGATAATCTCAGGAGAGAGATGGAAAAACTTAACTTAATCACTTTTGGGACTTCGCCCTGAACTACTTCAACCGTTTCATGATGAACGACAAAGTATCAAGATCTCAAGACAGCAAGATTGTTCTAGAGAGCGAATGATAATCTAACAAAGTGCAGGATCTTGCGGAGAGTAAAATTCATTTTTCTGAACAGTAAAATCATCTGTGGCGTCACTATATTTACAAACTTTACGGAGAGCCGTTGATTGTCAGTTTAGGAAGTTGCGGACCTCATCGTTGATTGTAAATTGGATTCGAGTCGAAATGAAAAGTGACCAAATACGCCTCGGTAGAAACTGAATGACTACCATAATCCGGTGGAGATGCGCATGGCCAATCACGTGCAATTAAACTTTTGCTGTTTTCTGTACATTTACACCTCAATTGCCGTGTACTATTCAAATATGGAGTTGTCTCACCACCTGAGTATTTACTCGGTGTGAATTCTCAGAGGTAGTGAGAGAACATAGATAGTGCTCCTCATAAGCAAACGCATGTTCCAACACTGACTGACTGAATAACACAACATCAAGATAGATAAGAAATACAGACAGTCGACATGGGGGTAGGCATGGATGGTCCTATTATCTCAATCAAAGTATATCTGACATACCAGTACAGGAATTCTATTTTGTCATTCGAGAAATTTTGTGACAGGAAAATTTTCCAATTTCCCTTGTTATCCCGTTTAGGTGAAAACGGGTCATTCAGTGACTTATGACCACATGCAATATACAGTGCGAACTAGACAGTTATGCAGATGTAGATTTCCGAGATGCTTCCATACGACTATAGACTACGTAACGCTTCTAAAACGTTGGTGTCATCAATCGATTCACATTGTTATCATGTTGATATTACTCAAAGTTGACTTTCGAGGGCTAAGTTGAAAATACTACTTTGCATAACGGTTTGGTTCATCACACTGTAGAATGGGAGAGCTTTCTCACCTGAGCGGGAATCGTTGTAGGTTTATATGAAAACTCCTTCGTGTTCGGATCGAACACCTTCGCTCCGCCAGCCTCCAACCACAGTCGAAATAGAAGGTTTGATGCTCGCTCAGTGAGCAGATATTTTCCGTATTTCTGATGAAATAAAAGACACCACCCGGGATTCGAACCTGAGTCGTTATATGGCTACCTCAGCGTTATCCCGAGTAGGGAAAATCCGCCTGAAACCTCCAGCCCTCTGTTCTTCATCGTGCCAATCCATTATTGATGCCCAATCTGCTTCCGTTAAACTCGATAGAGGTTGTGCTCCGCGAGAAGCCGTACTACAAGATAATTCTTCTAGTTCGTTAAGAAGTGAGCTCCGTGTGCCTGCGTGCAACTATTCACACGAAGCGGTATCAGCTCCAATGTGAGAAGATAAACATCGACATGGAAAATCTGGAAAAAATTTCCAGATTTTTCCAATTCAAAAATATGCACATGGTCTACCGTATATGTTGGTGACAAAATAAAATTCTGAGAAAATTTCGGGAAATTCTCATTGATTCCTGTAAACTTCTACCCGGATTCGTATGTAACCTCCCACAAGCACTGCGGAAACCAAACATATATTCCTCCAACACTGTAATCATCATTTCAACCCGAATCTCTGACCCAGCCTTGGTACTTTTCTGTGTTCCATCAGGTTTCCAACTCCCCGGATGTGGGACTCTTATCTTCCCTCCTGACCGATCAAATGGCCAGAAACCTAATATAATGCTGAACAGCTTGGCGTGGATTCGATATAGTACCAACAAGTGTGAATGCATCTGCGATCATCTGAGATTTGATGCGTTTGTCTAGCCGGCTTGAGCTGGAAAATGACGGACACACGTTAACCTCGAGGAGCCACGGTCGTAAATTTGCATCAAGCAAAATGTCGAAACCGTATATCTATCGACCGCAGTAGCACTGGCAACCGGAAGACCCCCGGTTCGATTCACCTCGAATATATTTTGGTGCACAGGAGCATCCAGCTCCGCACACGAAGTGTAGTTAGTTGCCCGATGGAGGTTTGTGGCCATTTGAGGCTCAGCCGAAATAATCGTCTGCGAGAAACGAACACATCTATTTGGGACGGTGTAACATATCACAATCAAGGATGCGTTCCTTCCAACTCCATCAGAAGATTCTATTATAAAGAATATATTAAATTTGAGTTCACTACAGTAAACGAATTACTTTTAAAAAGAATTACTGTAAAAATTTTACATAACCTCACTATTGCAACGAAACGCCATCATATTCGAAAACCGAGTATCACTGCGAAAAAATGTTCACCACATACGTTGGTGACAAAATAAAATTTTTATGAAATTTTGGGAAATTCCCATCGTTTACTGTGCATTTCGTACATAGACTCCTTCCTGAGCTCAGCTGAGGAAAGCCAACACTGCCAAGCACTCACCTTAATGATAACATCTTCCACATCTTTTATCATCTTGTCGTAGTCCAGCTACAATGAAAAAATACATAAAACTCCTATTAAGCACACGCATTCACTAGCGGAAAATTGCGACATACCCCGCATTCCATCAAGTTTTGTTGCAATTCCCGTAACGACCATTTATGACTCATATTAGTGCTTGCGACAGACGGCGCACATTCGGACCGAGCTGAACCTGAACGAAAGCTCGTGGACAACACACAATCATCATTATTACCTCTGTCACTAAATTCTCCCAAACTGCCATCACCGAAAAAGTGCATATCCTCGTTTTTCACAAATATACAATTCTTCTTATTAACGCTATAGTTCGTGAGATGCATAAATCGGGATTTCGAACGCCCCTTGTTAACATACGGTAAAGTGGCGATTCGAACCAAGCCCTCGTCGAATAAGTAGATCTTCAGAGGGTCCACAGACAGTGTCAATACATACAGTCGTAGATCACATTTGAAGCCATTCAGCAACAGAGGGTTGCTGATGTACTTCTGAATGATACCATTTTTCTTCGCAATTTTCTTCAGCGTCGCTCCGCTCATTTTACTTTTAACCAGCTGTATACCGCGACCACAGCTAGAACTCCGGGGCTTGAATATCCACATGGTCCTACCACACCTCGCCCTAATCCTGTCAGCATTCCATCTGTGAAACTCCTTAGGGAGATTGTATGTTCGTGGAATAATACTCTTAACACCAGATTCCAATCGCCGTTGCAAACGCTCAATGTTGACATATAACGAATCCTTCCACCCCATTTGAAACGATCCTGGAAAATGATTCGTTTTCTGAAGGGCGTGCATTTTCTTCAGAACTTCAGCCTTACTATTGCTATCCCATCGCAACGACCACTTCGGATTCCCCCAGTCGCCGTTCCTCACGCTCACACCACCGTTACGGTCAAGCGTATTAATAACACAGTTATAATGGTGAATTCCAGATGAATGAAAATAATAAAATCGCAATTTCGGTGCCGCAACAAGCCGTCCTGAGTACCGCTCTTTCGAACCAGTTACCACACACTCGAAGAAAATCACCGCCGGTCTCGCCTCCCCGAAAACAGAAAGTAAAATATTACGCCGTATAGTAGTATCTCCTAACGAACCGCTCTCACATGCAGTCAAATTTCCCTCATCATTCGTCATTCCTTCACTGCAATTTTCCATCCAATTTGTCGTCGTCGAGTCGACCTCTTCTGACGAGCGAAAGCCGTCCAGATTCCCTTCCGAGGGAGTAGTTGCTCCTGGCTCAATCGTTGACACCAGTGGTGATAGTCCGGCAGCACCGCAGTTTTCAAGAACCATGAATAGGGAGAAAACTGAATCGCTTATCAGTAAGTCTTGTTGCTTTATCGCAGTGTTGGAGTAGGAATATATGTAATCGCTTTCCTCAGCTGAGCTCAGGAGTTTCCTATACAGTGTTGGAGTAGGAATATATGTAATCGCTTTCCTCAGCTGAGCTCAGGAGTTTCCTATACAGTGTTGGAGTAGGAATATATGTAATCGCTTTCCTCAGCTGAGCTTAGGAGTTTCCTATACAGTGTTGGAGTAGGAATATATGTAATCGCTTTCCTCAGCACCTGAGCTCAGGAGTTTCCTATACAGTGTTGGAGTAGGAATATATGTAATCGCTTTCCTCAGCACCTGAGCTCAGGAATTTCCCCACTATACTGCCAAAATTTACACACGAACCCAGTTAGAAATGTACAGAGACCAATCTCTTCAGAATTTTCATATTATCACCAACACATGTAGTTGCTGACCATGTGCATATTCTCCCACACTGCTTTACCCTATCATTTTCAACATCGTCGAAATCTATTTTTCAGACTGGCGCCCTCGGGCTGAGTCCTTAACGGTAAATGACAATTTCCAAACCGCATTTTCTAACACTTGCAACACTCTCCGTCAGACTTTCCAAAAATATAACATATTCTACTACAAGGTATTCTGCATGTGACTACTATGTTCATATGGAAAAAGCCATAGAGAATAATATCATATTTTATATCGTCGGACTTTCATCCGTTTTACGTGAAGTGGCGTAATACTCTGTGGAAAACGCGGTTTACGTTAGTCGTGAAATATGTTTTTCATATCCCTAGGGTGAAACTCCATTATACCCAATGTTCCCTTCTTGTCACCATAAGACCTCCATGAGAACCGGCTGAGCCAACCTCATCGCGTATCATTAACCAACGCAATCATCATGTCATAGACGTTCCGTTCAACTCTTCCAAGGAGACAATAATTATGAACTTTGTCCCTCAAATCTTCCACTTCTCGCCTCAGTCGGATTCTGTTAATCCTCAGACCATCATCCCGTATCCAGCGATGCAAAAAATCAGCAATATAAACGTCGAGTAGCTTGACTACTCGTGACTTAATACAGTAACGTCTTCACAGGACTAGACGCCCTAGACGTTAACGTGCTATAGTACTCATGCAATGGTAGCACACCACACCCTCATCGAGGGTGACAGACAGGCCAATACGAAACGACGGAAACAAACCTCCTCCCTGTCACCCTAGACAAGATCTGGGTGCTGTGATAAATGTGATAAAAATACGTTAATCTTCATAATGATCTGGTGCGCATGCTCTCAGCTCCTCCGCAGTGGCAGCGTAAGGAAAGAAAGGCAACTAAACTAAAAGATACTCAAAATCCTGATATAATTTCAACTTACATTTCGGGTACAATTCGCACAACCGACTGGGAGCGGACGGACCGGACAGGACTCCACCTGAGGAGCGTAATTCTTTCGAGGTAAAAAGAACAAAAAAATATCTGCGTTTCTCGTTAACTAATGAGACTTCTCCAGAGTATAGATGTGACAATCAGCTATTATATATATTAAATTGAAACGGAACCATTACTGATATATGAGGGCGATCGAGAAAACCACCACCCAGAACCGTGCAGATTGATAATAGTAAACGCTCGAACACTACATGCCACAATGCGTCCCAAGTGGCTCACAGTCGACTTTCGAGACCCGACATTTAGCGCCCACCAAGACATTCTTCCCTGTCGAAAAAACGAACAAATATGATGCTCCGTATCGACGATGAACGACTTCAACTTGATCAAATTAAAGCGACCGACTACCTCCGGTTTCAGTCTGCCTATATACACCCCATACGACATCGAGAACGATGGTATGTCGTTGCCTCTAGCCACGCCATTACACGTTGGAGCGGCATAGCAACAATCTACTGTGTAGTAACCAGGACAGGTCTAAGGGCAACATCAGGGAGTTCATACTAACATGGATATATTACCATCGACATAGCCTGAGAGGACTCCCCATAAGCTCCCATCGGATGCTCCACTCGACCATATCCGTCAATTCCAACCACTTCATCAGTGTAGATGGTATAATCCTGGAAAAACATTACGACCAAATAGGAGCTCCTATTCCTCACATCGAGAGTTGAGGCCACATCACAACTGCTAGCGATGCTCGCTGTACTCGATGACGACGACCCCCGCTTCTTCCGGGACGCTCTCGCCACCCTTCGCCGCGCTGAAATCAGATGGGGATTCGAATGGCTCTTGCAGAACTATGCGCGAACCTAACCCAAGATCTACACTATCGGAGAGCATCTACCGTAATTCTCACCGGCACATCTGGGCCAAGTTGGCAGCGGTCCTTTTTGTAATATCCGCATATAGGCTTCTGCGTTGTTACTCCTCCTCGACGACCAACACCACCCTAACAACAAATCACAGTACGATCTACGGTGGGGACCAAACCGTTATGCAAAGTAGTATTTTCAACTTAGCCCTCGAAAGTCAACTTTGAATAATATCAACATGATAACAATGTGAATCGATTGATGACACCAACGTTTAGGAAGCGTTATGTAGTCTATAGTCGTATGAAAGCATCTCGGAAATCTACATATGCATAACTCTTTGGTCCGCACTGTACACCAACCATGGAACCTCACCTTAGAGCCCTCCGCCTCCGCATACTGAATATCGACGTCCTCAGCACCGGAGGACATCAGATTTGATGAGATAGACATGACCCAAGAGAAATGCTGAAGACTCCTATTCGTCCCATTAATCAACACAAACGATTTCCTACACAACCGTACACCATCACGGAAGACGGAACCGCGATGAGATAGGCAATGCCTTGCTTGAGGAGCTACCTGGACTTGTAGTAGGAACATCAGTAAGAATAGTACGACACACGCCAGTGTGATGAAGAATTACAAACAATCCGACACAGAGAGCACACTCTATACAACGTCCAGAATAGAGGGAAGAATTATACGTCAAAACAACAATTACGAGAATCAGTAGTGAACGACGATCAGTAGGGAAGGAACAACCAGAGAAGGGGAGTCTTACCAGAGGTCGCCAAGTAGCATAAATAGTGTAGCAGCGAGAATGCTCTGCAAATAAGAGCGTTTCACATCTGCCTCGAGGTGGCAGGTCCACCACCAGGCACGAGGAATTGTACTAACTCGCTAGGGGAACGCTTATACACCCTAGGGGAATGAGGGCATGACAAACTCCCCCAAGAAAGTCATAATATTAATGATTCTCGACTACAGGGGCCACCGAAGGGCCCCCGGGGGACTTCTGCACCATAACTGGTGCGTAATACATAGGAGGCGCTGCCTGAGCGGCCGGTTGGTAGTAATAATACATCTGAGATCATACCGTAACTTTCCCCTCGACGAACCCAACTACCCACCTGTGGTGGCGGCGGCACGGCCATAGGCCCATTGGGGCTGGCTACAGGAAAGGCTGGTCCTTCATAAGGTTGCTGAAGGGAAGCCACTGATAACTGTCGAGGACGCCCTGCGAGGGAACTCACCTGTACAGGGGGAGCCACGTAAGCGTAACATGGATTGGGCACAACCGTCGGCTGGGCCACATAGGGACTCTGGAAGGGACCACTTACTAGCAGGGGAAGACTGGCAAGCTCACCTGGCCGACAGACTGCTGGCATTGGGGAAATCTCCTCATCAAAATCAACCTCGGGTTCTTGTGCTCTTTCAATGAGTGCGCAAATCGGCATGCATTACCCATGCGGCATCTGTCGTTCTTGAAATACGCGCAGAGAGGCCTCGTGGTGCTAGGGATGGTAGTAGTAGGGGAGGAGCCCACAGAAACCTTCATCGGTGGAGCTTCGACCGAACACGGGGTTGATGGCGCCGTCGAGGAATCAGTAGGTGACGCCTAAAAACCCAGTAGAAGGCCTCGAATAGGAATAGAATGCCTTACCTTAGTACTGGGCACCACTGAAGAACAATCAGAGGCTATCGACCCACTTCTACTGCCCTTAGTCGAGACCGTTGGTACCCCTCGGTCGAGCTGGAGACGGAGCTGTTGGGAGCGGGCACAGGCACGGCACATCAGGAAGGAATTATGAAAGAGGCTATGAGGAAATGAGACAATTTGTACGAGGCAGATGCATGAGGAGTTCCGCCACCATAAAACGGCCAAATCGCCCGGTAAAGATTCTTTCCAAGATAGAATCATACATGCTGCGATTACAGGAGGCCACACTACACCACAGGAGCTCTTGAGAAAGGTTCCCCTACAAATTTCGAGGCGCAGCTGCCAAGAAGGATAAGCACCCTCACAAGTGACGGCGAAAGCCTGTTGCCCTTCGAGCAAGAAGACGTGGTTCAGCTTGGACCCTACTATGCTCGTGTGATAAGAACAGCTGCCAGAGTCAACAACATTCTCCAAGAACTCCTCACTTGCGTATCTTGCCTTCTCTTACTTTTCCTCAACGGACTCTTGCTAGAAAGCAAAACGGTCGAGTGTGGTCTCCCGATGAATGCGAAATAGGGCTTAGCCCCAAAGGCGGGGGCGGGCAAGCCTCGAATTGCGGAGGGCAGGGTGCCGAAGCGAAATAGGGTTAGCCCACGACCAGAGAGTCTCTAATAGAGACTCTCTGGGAGTTCCACCACTCGGCATCAAGCCGAGAGTTGGAACTCCTCTCCGGGAGAGGCTCTCCCAACCCCAGTGTGTGTTATGTTCCGGAGGAAACATCATTACACGGTCGGAGAAGAGTGGAATGTCCGAGTCTTGCGGATGACTTGGCGTTGGTATCGTACGATGTCTATGCGGCACTCCAAGTATGGAAAGCCCTACGTTTCTCCTTCATCTTGTGGAGAAGAGCGGTTGCGGCGTATCCACTCTCAGATGTGCAGTATCCAGTGGCATATCAGGAAGAAGACAAGATATCTTTTTCGCGATCGTTGCAGCTGGGATGGGCAGATGAAATGGATGCCAAGGCACTCCGATCATTGGGATGCATAAGGATTGATGACGATGGCATAGCACGCTATCTGATTAATGGCACAGATGCGGCTACCAGTTGGGCGTATTATGTACCAAAGATGAGGATGGGTTTTAGAAGATTACTCATTCGTAGTGCTCACAGGAAGCTGCGGCATGCCAGTCCGAATGCCAGTGTAGAAAGAGCGATAGAGTTTGGTTTCTTCGCACCATCATTGAAGCGACTTGCGAATGATGAGCTTGCAGTATGTGTTACTTGTCAGCTCAAAAATGCTAAGCGGGAGTGGAGAATATCCCGGGGCTCTCAGGGGCGGGTATCTCGGATCTTTCACCAGAGAATCTATTGAGAGCAGGTAAGGAGCCCTTTTATGCTGTGTCGGTGGATGCCATTACGTTGGGATCGGGTCTTCTCTATCTGTCTGTGGTCTGCCTCATGACATATAGCGTGGTGTGGATCACCATACCAGACCAGACTTCCTCAAGTATTGCGGCAGCGATCAGAAGGGCTCAGAGGAGAGAAGGCGGATTCGCAGTGGTGGTAGCCGATAATGCGATTGCCAGGGATTCAGTGGCAAGGGATCCTGAATTAGCGGGATGGAACATTCATTTCGTTCCAGCCAATCCCAGAGCACCGTGGACTACAGCGGCAGAAACCCATCACAGGAGTGCAGTGCGAGCGGCCAGAACAATTTTAAGACAATATAAGGTGTCGGATTGGAGTGGAGACTCTATGGCGGCACTCAAACAGGATCTGGCAGATGAAATCGCGTGGACACTCAATAGATCTCCCTTGTCATCGGCGGATATTGGTGACCAAGGATATGTCAAGGCATGACAGCGGATGACCTCAGATTTGGTTATATCCGCAGGGAGGGAGGCGGAGCTGCGCTGATGGATAGCACCCAGCACTGCTGGGCCAGCAGGTAGAGGAGGGTGTCGAAGGGAAATGGAAGCGTCGTAGGGAAGCGAATCTGCGGCGATTTTTGAACGATTTTTGGCCGGAGAAACGCAGGAAGGTATTGCAGTCACTGGGACGAACGCCATCAGTAAGTAAGGACTTTGCATTCCGAGTGGGAGATCCAGTGATGATATACCAACCAACGAAGAAGCACAGCATGTTGTGGAGAACTGGATTCGTGGTACGGGTTCTGAGCACTCGTCGCTACAAAGTCCGGATCGTCGGAAGTAAAGGTGAGCGCTTAACGGAGGAGAATCACTTCAATTTATGTCCACTGCAAGTGCGGAGAGACTATGAGTCGATGCCATTGCCGGACAGAGCAGGTATGAGGATTCGATGTAAGCTCACGCACGACGACGGCACACAGCAGCTGCATTGGGGTACTGTAGTGAAGGACTTGGCAGAGAAGGTACTCATATGTTTGGACGAAGCGGATCCGGGCCAGAGTGCATTTGAGATATTGAGATTGAACGAGGAGCAGTGGGATTGTGGCGATTCCGAAGATAACGCTGGAAGCATCTCCGAGGGGGAGGCGTGTCGCGGCACCGAATGATCTGCTATTATTATCGGGCGTGCGCGAAATGCTCCAGTGAGTAACGACAGGCAGGAAGGCCAGAGGATAGATATATGATGCTGAGATTAGGTGTTTGAGTTATCATTGTTGCTAATTAAATTGAGATGATGAGCATGTGAGATAGCTCCGTAGCCATCTGGCTCAAGTCTGTATTTTTACTCTCCATTTTCACATGAGTACTAGTCGCGTTGAGGAACCGTCCAAACCAACCGAGTCGGCCGACCGTAACACCCCAAACACGGTCGGATGGTATCCTCGTACTGTATGATGGTGTTAGAAACTTGCGTGTTGGAAAGGCTAGTGCTGTGGTTAACGACTCATGGTTTTCCGTATTCGGCCTTCTAGAACGCCATCAGTCGGGTTTCACCTTCTCGCTTCCCAGATCGCACGTAACACGGCCCGTGTTACACGGGACTGCCCTCCTCTGATCAGAAATTCTCGATTCTATTTTACGGAGATCTATGGTACTGCCTGATGTCGGGAGCCGCTGACAACCACTAGACGCGTCGCGACAGTCGCACTTGTACGTCTTGCACGTCACGTCTTAACGATCGTGATGTCGCCAGTCCGGCGACGCCAGATGACTGTGACCGGAGAGTGCTGCCGAGCCGAAAGAGGTCTGCAGTCGTTGTATAGGGCATATTATTTTTTGAACCGAGATTTGATGCTCGATA